GTAATATAAGTAGAATTATTCATAACAGTTATATAGGCAGGAAATGTGAATTTCTTGGTGAAAACTTAGTGTGCTCTTGGTATGTTGGGATTTTTAGGTTCTAAGGTTGAGAGTATTTGTTTCTGTATGTGGATGGAATAGAGATCAAGACTGAAGAAAAATATGCATTCTAAAGGCTTTAATATGGAAAAGGCAAAAAGAAAAATATTGGAATATCGTATGTGTTACTAGCATTTGAGATTTCAGTAACATACTGTCCTAAAAGTACTGTTAATTTCTGGTGCAGTTTGAATTTCTAACTAGACAGTTTGATTAATACTTATCCAGATGATTTTGCTGATTTAGTAATGTCGTAATTATCTTGGCAATTGTGCAACGGGATATGGATCATGAAATGTGACTTAATTTGTGTATTCTTTACCTTCTTGTAACATGGTGGCAGCAAATTAATTCAACTACTGGCTACCAAACTAGCAAAAATTATTATAAATTAAAAAGGCTAACATTTGTGGAGAGAATAGACATTAGATGAGGCTGATGAGGCAAGTGAGTTGAAAAAAGTACTTAAAATGGCTTCCCAACTTCAGCTCAGATGGAATTAATCTTACCATAACATCCACTTTCCTTCTAGCTGTTGTCCTTGTAGAATTTCTTGTATATGTGTATCACATGAAACTATAGCTACATCATTTGACTTGTGATTTAATTGACATTAATATTGATTTGCATAGCCTAACGTTCATTAATGAATAATGTGCATTAGTTTTGAAATGTTTTTAGTTTTAGTTACTTCTGGGTAAAAATCAGAGGCATTTATACAGCTACTTATATGCTGCAGACGGTACCAAGAAAATTCGAAAGCCAAAACCCTGGAAGCATTCTGAACAAATTACAAGGGCACAACTGGGGCGGATGCGTGATGAATTTTGGGACACTGCTCCCCATTATGGTGGACAGAAAGGTATAATTCAGATTTCATTCAATCTTTTTTAACACTCAAATGTTATCGTTAGTGAGTAAGCTCTGTCAGTGGCCTACTGGGCCATAGTATCTGTGTAATTTATCATGTAAGCCATGGCATAAGAAGATAAGTTCCATAGATTCAGTCAAAGAGAGGACAAAGGAGACAGATGTCATGGAGATCTCAATGGCAAACATTTTGATGGAAGTGTGATAGTATATTCATAGACTCGCAGGTGGCAAAAGATTAAATGAACATAATGATTCATTATCTATTTCAAGTGTACTGGAATTAGTCATTTTCCTAACTTGGGCTAGCCATTATAATTTTAGGGTTTGACTATTTACCTAATGGTTTAGATTCATAGAATTGATAATGTTCAGTGCATAGTTACCTGTTAATGCTAAAAATTTTCCAAACAACTAGTTCTTTGCTAGTGTTCTTTGAGTGTGAGGTGAGTGGTATGCATCTATTCAGCAGGGGGAATTGTGAAGATGATGACTTTCAGCTTTGGACCTAGTGAGTCATGACTCTAATCGCACCTGAAACAAGGTTTTGCAAATTTTGCATTTTAAATATGTCTCCCCTGAAGGATTCTTGCTAACTGAAGTTCTAAAAAGAAGCTAAAACTATTTGCTGATCGTGTGTAGAACATTGATGCCCAGAATCAAGTGAAAGTTGGGTGGGGTTATTTTGTGTGATAAACTTTCAGGCATGCTTTTTCATGATATGAGTATATATTTCTTCATTTTTTGAAAAATGATTGTTCTGTTACCAGAGATATGGGATGCACTTCAAGCTGCAGCTGAAGCTGATTTAACCCTTGCACAAGCAATTATCGATAGCGCTGGGGTGATTGTTCAGAGTGATGACTTGACAATTTGCTATGATGAAAGAGGTGCCCAACACTCATTTTATAGGTGAAATTCTTCTCGTCCTTTTTTTTTTTTTCCTCATGAAATGACTTTTGCAGGTGCCAAGTATGAACTACCCAAGTACGTTCTGAGTGAGCCAACGAATTTGATTCATGAAAACTGACAAAGTAAAGATGACGGAGCTCCATTTAGACTGTAAATCATGTAAATTGATCTTATGGTCCTTACATTTCCTATTTAAGTTCTTGATCATCCACATTCTTCTATAACTTAATCCTAATGCAAGAGAAGTTATTGTTGGCAAAATTCCTAGTTCTTTAAATCAGGATCCATGTGTGCTTGCCATCAATGTCAAAGGAGACAATTGAAAATTCATTACCATTTCTGGTACTTATCTTTTCACTTGTTTTATATGAGTTAGGTTAAACCCCCAATTTAGTCTCTGAACTATTGTACGGATCCTCAATTTGGTCTCTCAACTATTGTATGAATCCTCAATTTGGTATTTACTGTTTACCAATTTACCTGAAATTGATCTTTTCGTACAAAAACAACTGACATGCCTATTATTTAACGACAAAAAATAATAACTTAATGATCACATATCACGTTAATAATAAAACATATCAGTTGTTTTTTTGTACAAAAGGACCAATTCAGGACAAATTGGTAAATAATATGATCAAATCAGGGACCCATACAATAATTCAAGGACCAAATCAGAGATTTTTATAGTTCAAGGACCAAATTAGGGGTCCATACAATAGTTTAGGGATCAAATTGGGATTTAACCTATTAGTTATTATGTCAAAATGTCAATAGGATTTCTGCTTCAGAAACCGAACCATGTTCTTGTGTTGACTGACGATGGTTCATTCATTTACCCCCACCACCACACCCACAATTTTCTTTTCAATGGTTTTCCAGTTCCAGAAGGCTCTTATTGGGTCTATTTGGGCCTGCTTGATGAGGTCCCATATTCCCCTCAAGCGTTGGGAATCCTGCTTGTACTTCCCTGCATTAAGGTAAAAAGGGGGTTTCTAAGAGTAAAGAGGAAGCAATTAAATTTGCAAATATCATGTAACTTCTTGCTTTTTAGCTTCTTGATGGGAATCAAATAAGCATTTCTTATGGCTAAATGGGTTTAATTTTCTTATATTATAATGCAAGCGTGCACAAGAGGTTGCATTTATACTCGCCGCATTGTCATCCCTAATGGCATCCTATGTGGTGGCGAAAGAGTGCTACAAACGCCGCAAAGCAGCACTAGGCACATGATCCGCTTAATTACTCACCAAATTAATAAATGCAAAATTCTATGTTCCTCAAGATTAGAGATTGAAATGGCCCAAAAGCAGAAAAGCAAAAAAGATTTAGAGGGTGGAACACATGACCAAAATAATGTCTCTTGGGAACTAGACATCAAGAAGCTTTTTCCAATGAATAAAAATGATGCCCTCCACCCATCTTTTGCAAAGGTCAATACTAAGATGACCTACATTAGATGCGATGCATCATTAGTAGGAAAAGCCAGTCAAAGATTTGGGCACTGTTCACCATTACTCTTTATTAGTTTAACAAGTGGAAGTTGCAAAAGGCTTATGGAGTTATGGGCACTTGTTATAGGGTATGGAGTAGCTTTTATTTTAAGGGATAGTGCCCTAATCATTTGCATTGGGGATAGTTTAGAACTCAAATTTTGATGTTTAATTATTCATGGATTGATTAAATTTTCTTTAAATTAGGGTTAGAGTTTGCCCTTTTCTTGTTCCTAGTAAAATGTACAAAATTTTATTCAAAATCAAATTGAGAACTACACACATCCCTTTTGCATTTTTTTGGTATAATCAATGACAAGTCTAATCTCACCCACACATCAGAATCTTGTTTTCAAAATATGACTTTTTTTCCCTCTTTTTTCAATACATAAGAATGGAGAAAAAAAAAAAAAAAAAAAAAAAAGAGAAGGTAACTTAGGATATATAATCTTCTTGTTGTAATGAGCTAAAAAATAGCACTATTCTCTCCAAAATCCTTTTATATGCCTACATGTCAATACATATAAAAAATGATGTTTTGTAATCTAGTTTATATTATACAGTAACATTATAATTTTTTAAATAAGTAGAATTTATAATATTAATTTCATCTATTCAAAAGATTAAAATTTTATAATTTAATACAATTATACAAGTCATATCGTAAAAAACTATTTGTAATACATAACCTTGAGATATTATTTTAAAAATCCGGTGCTCCAACTGTTGACCTATTATGATTGAGGTACAAAAACTTAGTCCCACTTTTCCGAGATTCACTTACAAAGTTGAATTCGAGTGATTCAGTTGGGGTGGATGGAATATCAAGTAATGTACAACATTATTAAATGACGTCCCATTCTTCTTCCGCCAATGTACTTGCTATGTTTCTAGCTTCACTGGCAGTTAATTAGTTGCGGTTGTTGTGACTGTTGAACCAATTGATGAGGTGAACCTTCTTTAAGGCTTCAACCAAACACACTGTTTTTTATTGCTTCTAGTTTTGCAATTAAGAAGACTACCTTAGAGAAGATATGATAACTAGTTCTACGGTTGGTAAATAAAATCGTCTCTGCTTTGTTGTACAGTAATTTCTTTTTATCTTAAAAAAAAAAAGAAAAGAAGAGAAGTTAGTTTATACAGTGATTATGAAAGTTTGAACTCCTAATTTAATTTCAAATCACGATTTAAAAGTAAGTGAATATTAACTCTATAAACAAATCAAGCATCTTAGATAAGAGGCAGGCGCTAATATTCCTTTAGGTTTTTGAACGATGATTTTGCATTCAAAACCTAGAAAATAGGATTAAGAAATGTCTCCAATTAATAATTCTTTTTGAAGTGGAGGAACGTCGTGTTTGAAAAAGAAATATATGCACTATACACAAAACATTACTCACATGCATTCCCTTTTTTCTTTTTCTTTTTTTGAATTTAGCTTTTAGGACTTATGTCACCTTCATACATTAATTTTTTTGCCAACTAAACACATGCTTCATACATTAATTTAAAGCAAGAAAAAAAAATTATATTCATGATATCTAATTGATTTTGTGAAAGTGATAGAATTAGCATCCTAGGATTAATTATAATTTATTTCGTGAATGGGACAACATTGACTTGCTCCATTTCATCCAATCTTCTCTTTCGAGTTTGGATCAACCTCCTGTTTTCCTTTTCTTTTCTTCTCTTTGGTTTCTAAGAGAAACCTTTTCAAAAAGTTTGCAAAACCTAGTATAACTTATCATCACATAACTATAAAGGCCATACACTACCTTTTTCCTTCCTTTCTAATTCTACCCCATCTCTTAGGACTAAATGATCTCATGTGGAGCCAGTGAACCACCTCGTACTTTTATTGTTCTTTTTGGGTTGTGGTTGAGGGAGCAAATAAAGATCCCAACTTTAATTCTCCTTTCCTTCCAACAC